GCGCCGCGTCAAATACAAGTTGCCTGGCACGGACCGACGTGGTTATCGTTGGCAACCTGGGGCCTGGCTGCTCTGATAAGACCGTGCCGATGCTATGGCGTACAAGATCTGCCGCGAGCACCCAGCCCATCCTCCAGCGGATGGGTCCTCGTCCACTAGGGGTTCGGCCGACACTGGTTTTTGCCTTCTTAACGATACCGTTTGTGCGTTGCTCCTCATGCCGTGGTCCCTGGTTCGATGTCTGCCTCGGATAGACGCTGCTGTTTCCACTGGAACGTCGACAAAATCCAAGGAAATGGCACAGCACTGTATCACAAACACTCAGAGTCGTTGCAAACACGCGCACAATGAATATCACAGTACAACACTTCATAAGAGTCTGTATCCACTTCTGTGTACGCCCGATTAAAATACACAAAATTGCACTCGCGAACCACGCATTGCCAACCTGCCTGCCACAGAGAAGATTCGCTTATTAATTTTGTAATTATTCGACTCCAAAATTCTGTCACGTTTGACAACTGATGTGCAAATCACAGACAAGCCCTTAAATTACAGGATTGACTTTTTAAAATTAAGATGGAATTATTTACCTCGTGTGTGAATGTTACGTGAACAATTGTGCCCTCTTCAGTACGCGAATAATTCTGATTGCAAAGTAACCGTTATAATTATATTGAAATCCCACTACTTATTTAAAAAAGGTAGGCCTGCATTTTATAAGAAAGCGCCTACTTCCAGATCCGAAGTGTGTAGTTGACCTAATTACCGGACAACGCATAAAACCAGCGCCAATCATCAAGGGGTCCGCCTCTAACGACGTGAAGTCGTAACCAGAATTTGGTAATTTAATAAACTTAGTGTTTTACGTTGCGATGGGCTGGTCATTCAGCACATTAGTGCACAGCTATGAGTGAGACGTGAAGGTGACGGAGGAAAAACTGAGAAGCCGCGTAAGGGAGCTGCAGATAGTGGTACTGTCCCGAGAAAAACACGGAAGGGGGAGAAGTTGTAATCTAATGTCACGATGAAACTGAATGTTTGGTCGCTGTTACTGAGGAAAGTTACGGAACACCCGAGAATAACAGCGCTTAGCGAGAGGCTGTGTTCCTCAACGTCTGACGAAATTTTATATACTCACTTAAGAAAACCACGAAAATCTGAAGATATCAGAACGCCTTGATATTTTTTTTTTTAAAGTGAGGATTCGACATTGGTCATCTGGGTTGTTAATGTCGTGTGCACGTAGCAACGTTTCGCATGAAAATGTTGTCTCCATCTTAGGTCCTGAAGATGGCTGCTCTCCATTTTCGCAAATATTAACAAATAAGGAAAGCAATTCAGCGCGAATGAAGTAGCTATGATAATCGCGTTTTTATGCAGAGCGTAAAACAAGTCGTTTTGCCGAGATACAAGATTCTCGTCACGTGACCTCAGCACAGAAGTTGGAAAGTATTTAAAGTATGAATTGTACCTGTTCTAACCTAACAAACAATTTAGTTTTTTACGAACAGCGCGCCACAGTGTGAGAAACGCTGATGCAGTTTGAATCTCGCTTCTTCGACATTCAGATTTTATATCAGAACATAAATTTGGCTTGAATTAAAATTCGCCTACCCAGCGCACCTAAAGTTTATTCATTATTAAACTCCCTTTTTAAGGGAAGGAATTGAACGTCGTTTCAATCCGCGTCAGCTGAAGCTTGCGGTGGGCACGCATGAACGTACAAATCACGTGGGGTTAGCGTTTGCCGGCCATGCATATGGAAGGAAGAGGTAGTAGCTTTGTTAGTTTGTTAGTCATGCAGATAGAATGGTAACTTGTACAGTTCATGTGTGGAAACCGCCATAAATCATTTTTACATCGAACTCTGACGTCATTTTCGTTGTCATCTATCATCTCACAGGACCAGAAATAGTTTCTGGAAAAAATCAAGAATTTTAGTTAAATCATGTCGCATTGGCGAATACTTTAGAGAATAATGCAGTTTGTTAACATTTTAAATGTTATTATCATCACATTAAAGCAAAACGGTGTTCAGACCGTCGACTAGATATGCGTGACGTAACAGCACAATTAAGAATACAAAATACGTATTAAAATTTTGTTTGGGAAATCTGAACATGCGTGTTCCGTAATTTTGGATAATTTTCTTGCCTGTCTCTCGTCCTTCGCCCGCTGAATCAGTTCTTAAGGGAAACTACGCTCAGCACTTAAGAATTTCTACTTGTGTTTTCGTGATGATTTCATTCCACCAGTAGCATTTTCAGCACAACCCTTGAAAGTCGTAAGATGTTCTATATCGCTTCGTGCTTGTCCGTCTGTCAATATCTTTGCAGCTACACGTTCATTACGCAGTGATGAAATTTCCAATTAAAAAATATATAAGTTAAGGAGGACAATATGGCGGGTCGCGTGTTGAGAACTGCCAGTAACCAATAGCCATTAACCATTTTAGGCAATTCGGGCTGATAATTTTGTTAAATATCTTTTTCATCTTCCATTTTGTCACACTGTTCAGCACGTCAGATGTTTGACGATTGTGTTTTAACTTAATAAGCTATTTAGCATCGATATCGTATCTACGCACACTAGTGCACTCACGTTGACTTCGGTACACTAGTGCACACCCTAAGCTGGTCCCACTAGTGGGCATCCCTGGCTTCGGCACACCAGTGCACACCCTAACCTCGACACACTAGTGCACAGCCCTGACTTCGACACACTAATGCACACCCAACCTCGGCACACTAGTGGCCAACTCTGGCTTCGGCACACCAGTGCACACCCTAACCTCGACACACTAATGCACACCCAATCTCGGCACACTAGTGGCCAACCCTGGCTTCGGCACACCATTTCACACCGTAACCTCGACACACTAGTGGACAGCCCTGACTTCGGCACACTAGTACACAGCCCTGACCTCGACACACTAGTGGACAGCCCTGACTTCGGCACATTAATGCACATAAACTAATTCAGGCACCTCTGTGGAACACCCCAACTTTAGCACAGTATTGCACACACTCTATCCTCGTCACACTAGTGCACTGACCCTAAAACTTCGACACCTGTATATAGTTTGAACATTCGAATTTATGTAACCAATAACGTCGAGTAAAACATGCAACTATGAATTATACGGTTTCTAGATCAGCCACATATTCTCTATGAATGTAAAATTACGCGGATAAATAGTTATGAACTTCTGATTAGGTTAATTTTATAAATCACAAATATTTTGATGTTTATGCCTCATTATAAAAGAGCGCCAAGATGCCTATTTTGGCGCCATGATAGAACATTCTAGAAAGAAAAATGGCTGCAAACGTTTATAATAAATGTTTCGTATTAATTTACA